TTTTAGTTTCTCTTTTTAGTTTCTCTTTTTAGTTTCTCGTTTTAGTTTCTCGTTTTAGTTTCTCGTTTTACTTATCATTTTTGTTTAAAATATCAAATGTTTCTCTTCCTCTAATAATATAACTGTTGTTATTGCCTGTAATACCAAGATACGTTATTGGAAGTTTGATATATTTTCAAAAATTCCATTAAATTTCAAATATCATACTTCTGAAATGTATCCTTTTTTTTGTTAATGAAATATCAATCACATGTATCATTGTTTCTGTCTATTCCTTTTTTCTGCATTTATTAATTCATTTCTCCCCAAATCTTTCCTTGTGTTAAAAAAGATTATGGTATTTGATTTCTTTTTACAAGGTTTCAAGATGAATTACATCACTTGATTCCTTTTTTTTTCCGAGCTGTTTAATGCTGATTTCTTCACTTCCTGTTATTCAATGGAATACTCTGTTTCATAAATCAACATTTGTTTTTTTTCTGATTTCAAATTCTTGAATTTACGTATGTTACGTTTATAAAGCGCTAAGCGTTATTTTTTTCAAAACATCACCAGATCTATCCGGTCATATTTTCTGGTGCAACCTTAGTGCTTTCAGAGTGGATTATCTTAGTTCATTTGGAATTAAATTGTTATTAAATCTTTTCCGTTAACAAATCTCTAATGAAATAAAACTTGTAAGAAATCTTATCTAAACAGTAAATCACCTTTTCTGATAGAAATAACTGGTACCAAAAAACACGACTGAAATTGAAGCACCGAACTGAATGAATTTATCATTTCTGAAAAAATCTCTCTACTCTTCAATTAATTATTGATGTGTAACTTCCATTCATCTATAGTACCCTATTAAAGCTAGTTCAGTATTGTTCTTGAATGTCATGAGGCGTCATTGAGCATCCTCTAAAAAATTGTTAACACAAACAATTACTAAGGTCGGTAGCATTTTCGAGATGGCGCAATTAGTGAACAAGAAAATGCATCGATCCAGAAGGTATTGTTCATTTGCTAATTTAATTTGGAGGCGCTAAAATATCAATGAATGTGTGATCTTATTCATTTACAAAAATAAGATAATGTACTGTGCAATACATAAATGTATAATTTGAAGGAAAAAGTAAAATTAAATCAGAAAATTGATATAAAACACATTTCATATTTCTGAAGAAAACGTTTATACAATGCTTTCCAAGGTGTAGAAACACATTTAGAAACCGTAAACAGATGTAATACAGCAGCCACGACAGCTTATCGTTTCATCCGTTTGATCTTTGATAATGGTGGTGATAATTTTACAAAATACACTTGGCTTTGTATAAGAAACGAAGCATTACCTGTGCAAGTAAATATTTATCAATTGTCACAAGTCCAAATTTTCAAAATACTAAAATTTAACTTAACGAACTTTTTGATTAGATATCACATGAAAAAAAAAGTGTTCCTGTCCATCAAAAATAAAATTTGACATCCGATTTTTCAAATCTCAGTTTCAAAACATATAAATAAACTCCTGGCAACTGTAAATAATATTTTTCTTCCCCAGTCTTTGGTGTACTATTTAACCTAAATTTCTTAAATAAAAGTACTGAAGATTGGAAATTTTCGGGAATTATACATCTGAAGTTTCAATCAAGATGAACTGAAGTGAAAAAAGAAAAACAAATTAACAACATTTAAATAAATTTTTATCCGAAATTTATGTGGCATGCATTATAAAACACACGATGAGAAATAAATTCATAATATTATGAAATAATTTTGTAATAACTGTAAAAGAATATTGGAAGAAGATATCAGTGAATGTAGATTTAACATAAATAATCCAAATTAAATCGCGTGTGGTGACTTGTGATATAGCACAAAACGTGTGTTCATTGTATTTGTTATACGTGTCCATCCATCATGAATAAAACATTTCACATCTATCATAAAGACTTACAATCAATATCAGATATATTGGATTTGAAATTTTTTCTTTGTAAACTAATTTTGTTACTCCTTAAAATGTATTTGTTTCAACTCTTTTAATTCATACTTTAAAACAAAAGTTAAGTAATTACTGATAATAAATATATTAATTGATACTATATAATAGCATTTTACTAAGCATGACCACTATATACTAAACGAAAATTATAAATGACATAATTATTACATAATAGCACAATTCTTTTACAGATTCTTTCCGGTTTCCAGGAGTAATTAGAAAAAAGACAATGTACGCAGTTACAATATAATCTATACAGATATGAAATTCATGGAACTGTCCAGAATTGTAATCATTTCAGTTTGTCGTTGTTGGATTTGTGGGTGGGAAGCATTCTATAACTTTCTTTAAAAAAAAATCCAAAATTTGATCTGATACAGTTGGAACGAACAGACTAGCACCCACATAACCATGTGTCTCCTTGGCATGACATATTACATCCGGAATACGGAAAGCAGAAAAATCACAGCAAGTACATTGAAAGGGATATCGATCTCCTACTTGAACTAACCATGAAAGATGCATCCATGCATGAAGCTCTAGGAACTTTTGCAACACCTGAAAATGAAATGATCTAGTAAAATTATCATAGACAATTAGAGAGAAAGAGAAAGAAAGAAACAGAAGAGAAATTTGATGAAATTCAATAATTTTAAAATACCATTGAGTGACAAATTGAGCAAGCGAGTTCAGGTTCGTTGGCATAAATATCCTCCTCGGTATAACCATAAAAGTGGCGACGGTATATAACAGTGGGGACTAACAAACTAGTTATTTTAACTTGACCATAACCACCCATTACAGCTGCAAAATATTACTTTAAGAAAGAAGTCATATATCTTACAATTGCATATTGTAATAGCTCATAATCTGGAAATGACATTGTAAAACTTAGAAATATACTATGAAAATTTGCGTAAAAATTTGATTTCATAAATATGAATACTTAAAAGTTGATTTTATAAATACCAATACTTAAAATTATGTAAATACTAATCCATTTCATCAGAATGCCTCAAACTCAACTACTCTACTTAAACATCTTACTGTATTAAATGTGTGTGGCATACTGTGTGGTAGAACAAGAATATACAGCGTATCATATGCGTAGTATTTTATGTGCACAGTATGCTGTGCGGACAATATGTCAACATCGTGCATCTGTACAGTATATTATATGTTAAATTGAATATTTCACCTGCATTTTTCGGCAACTCAATCTTTTGTCTCTTAAAATGAGGAAAGTTGTTCGGTTGTGTAACGGCCGCAGCATTATTTGTTGGTGGACTGTTCGCCAAGACTCGCTTCTTCGGATTATTTTGTTGGATATTGCGATTTGGATGATTTTGTGGTTCTTTTGGTTGCCCTGCGCCATCATTCGTAGATCCTCCAAGATTAATGCATTTCTTGGATTTTGACGGAAAGCGTTCACCCATCTGAAATAATTTACCGCTGCAACTTAATACTATCTCTTGCATCTCTCTCTAACCATTCACCGATGACACGTAATCAGTTATATTTTACCCATACAAGTCTCACGTTTCACGTAAAACTTCTCTTTTGTATTCGTTGATACTTAACTATTGTCACAACGACTATTACTTAAATTAACAGCGAATCACCAAAGAACGGTAAATTCTCTCATTCACAATAAAGTGAATACGTGACATGACGTAAACATACCTGTCGGTATGGCTTATTTTTGCGCCCTTTCACCATTTTTCCAATTTCAATTATAGTCTTTGAATAACTCCCGACTACTAAATATCAGAATTTAATTGGAATAAAGAGTAATTTAAAGTAAAAATATGCTTTAAAAAAGTATCGGATTTACTGACTAATAATTTCAATATTTGATAAATGTTATCCATTTTTTTAATCGAATAAAGGAAAAAAGAAAAAATAATAGAGCTAGGAAAATAAATACCAACCATATCTAGAAGTATACCTACGTATGATTTAATAAAAAGACGTATGCACTCCCATATTTACGTCAATTCAACCCTAAATATTTCTAAAAACACGAAACAAAACCACTCACCCAACCACTTCTTACCAAACCAAATACAGAAGCTGAATTTTTTCGGATATCAACCATCTTTAATGTTGCACCATCACACGCAAGCGTTATTCAAATTTTTTCCCAAAATATTACAGGTCTGTAATGTAATATCGATCGATTTATCGATTTACTCTTTCAGGTTACGGTGCGCCAATGAGGAGCTCATTGTTTCATTTTAGGACAATTAGGGGGTGGTGAGCGGTTGGTTGGCGCTGGTGCGTGCGCATTTATTTGTGTGGTAGGTTGGCGTGCTGGGGCGTGTGTGTGCGTGTACGCGTAAGTTTTACTTCGTGCGTGGTTTGTTTCGTGCTCAACATCTAGGAATACTGTTGTTTTTAATAAATGTTGGGAAGAAATTTACCTTATTCGTTTTCTCTTTTCTTTTGACGTTCATCTTGCTTTAGTGATTCATGCGTGAGCTTACATGATCTCACGTATACGTGTGTTCACACGTATGTGAGTGCTCTTTTTCCCTTTATCTCTTCACTTCTTTTTCTAGAGGATTACTTCCATCATTTCATGTTTTCCGATCTGTAAAAGAGGAAATTGAAAAGTTCTTGTTCCTGTCATAACTTACTTGTTTATTATCTGACTTCTTTCTATGTCAATATTGTCTTGCGTGATTTTTCTTCGTGGTCTAATATAATAGCTTATACGTAAATCATCCTTATCAGTTTGATTATTTAATAAGTGAAACTTCGTCGATAACAAGCGAAAATCATGAGTCGTCGTCAATTTGGATTTGAGAAAGCTGGAGAAAGCAGCAATTCGACTCGCAGAACAATGATCTGCTCATGCTGCGGAGGAAGTAGGTCATTTAATTATAAAAGGAAATTTTCCCAAGTTAGAAAATAGAAGAAGGGAAAAAGAATATAAATGGACGAAAAAGGCTATGTGACACCAGATGATGACAACAGTAATGGAGAAAAATAAAGATTAAGTTGAATTAAACCAAATTCGAAAGTAACGGTATATTCAATATCCAATAAGTAAGCTAAATTTTTAATTCCAAAATAAAATATGATAGCTCCAAAGTTTGTTTTAGGATACTATGTCCCATTTATTGGGCAGTATTGGCGTGAAAGATCCGGACATTTTGGTGAATCGCGAGCAATGGCTGACGCGAGGGACAGATCTAATACAGTCTGTGAAACGGTGAATAAACGAAATACTCTTTCCCATAGCTGTTGTTCCGAACAGGTTGTGGATTGTAAGGAACGGTTTAACATATCTTTTTCGGGTGTAATAACTGATATCAATGTTTAGATTACATTTGCACCATTATTTAAATATGATATACTAAAGCAACTGGACATATAGTCTAGATAATTTGAAAAATCGAAGAACAATAGGACTTTTGCAGATTTTTATAGTTTAACCTAACTTTTTAATCTCTTAAGTCAGTTCTGTCTTCTTTTTTTCTTCATCCTTTGAACACTCTTCTTTCAAACTGACTCAATTTCATGATAAGCCGGAGCAGGAAGTCCATGACAAACCAAAGGAAAAACCTAATGGCAATCCGGAAGAGAAAACTGGCGACAATCCGGAGGAGAAGGCTGATGGCAATCCGAAGAAGAAAGCTGATGGCGATCAGGAGGAGAAAGCTGATGGTAATTCGGAGAAGCAAGCTGATGGTAACCCGGAGGAGCAAGTTGATGGTGATCAGGAGGAGAAAACTGATGGTGAGAATCCGGAGGAGAAAGCTGGTGGCGATCAGGAAGAGAAAGCTGATGGTAATCCGGAAGAGAAAGCTGATGGCGATCAGGAGGAGGAAGCTGATGGTAAACCAGAAGAGCAAGTTGATGGCAATCATGAGGAAAAAGCTGATGGTAACCTGGAAGAGCAAGCTGATGGGAATACGGAAAAGAAAGCTGATGATGACGATGATTGCATAATAGTATATGAAAAGATCGGTGGACGAAAGCGTAAATATCATGATGACACCGCAGACCGCGAAACAACTGGTAAACGAAAGAGACGTAAGCAAAGCAACCTGGTCTACGATACGACTGCTACACGAAAGAATCGTCGATATTATAATTGCGTAATCTACGAAAAGGCCGATGGACAAAAAAAGCGTAAAGATGGTGATTGCCCCAAAGTCAACGAAACACAAACTAAATGTGATCAATCAGTACAAACAACGCACGTAAGAATTTGCACTTCTTTACCTTTGTTTTGGAACA